ACCCATCTTAGAAAGTTGTGATTTATTTTGTGAATAATTAAAAGTTACATTAATTATTTTATTATTACACTGTAATATGCCCATTGTTTAAAATAGAACTACTTGTGCTTAATGCCTTGCTTCAGTGAATAAAAATAACATTCGTATCAAACCTTTTTTTTTTTATTCATGTCAAAGTACCTCCTTTTCTACGGTTTTCAGTGTTCATTTTCTCGATTAAGGTAAGTACCTACAACTTAATTAATTGAATGAAAGTTATTTAATTTATTAAATGGAAACTATAATAATTATTTGAGGTTTTACTTAAAAATGTAACACATAATTAGAATAATTAAACAGTAAATAAATTTGCATCAGGACTTGTCGTTATGTTTGTTACAAGTTTATTAAGCTTTTTCATATAAATCGAAAAAAATTTATAAACTGTACTCGTGTATTTCATGAGAATTTAACTGGTCACGCCTTGTATATAGTTTCATTCTTTACTTAACGTTTTAACACATACATAATGTTGTGGCAGTCAGAGGAGAGGAGATAGGCAAGGACGAAGGAAGAACAGCAGATAATGCCGATAAACTTTTCATCGGACTTCAGTCGCTGTTGTTACGGAATAGTAAATGTATGGTTGTAATAGCTAGTGGTTAGAATGTATTTATTTAAAATTTAATTAATTGTAACAAAGGTGGTTTGTGAACAAATGATAAACGTAGTCCTACAGGTATGGTGCAAGGTTTCAGTTATTGTAGGTATGTTTTAATAATCTCTCGAAGTAGGACTATGTAACTGAAAAAGCTTTGGATTAAAAGCCAGTAAGTAGTTTATTTTTAGTTATTTCCTTCTTTATTAATTTGCATGTGCTTTTTTACTTTGATAACTAATTTAATTATGTATTTAAAGGACTATCTGTAGTCGATTACTAAATAAACCCTTATAAGACATTACTTCTTATTTACTTACCATAACCTGTACGTTGTGTGTGTTATAAAGATGTAAATTCTAATTTATTTGTCTCAAACGAATGTACATTTAATTTTTGACGTACTAATAAGATTTAATTATCTATATTTAAAAAGTGTGTTCGTTTTAATGATACAAATTTTAACAAACAACTAAGCTAGAAACAAATTACATTTACATATTAAGATTGTTAATTGTAGTTTTATCATTAAAACACAACGGCAATATATACCAATTTATGAACTTTTTTGGTGAAATCATTTGGGCGACCTGCACTTTAGAAAACATGAAACATTTCTTGAATAATAGAAAAATTTTAACTTTTGAGTGTCTATGTTTCTTCGTTATAATGAAAGATTCAAAATGACAACCCTAATTTTGCTTTTTAAATTTTAATCATTAAGCGATATATATATTTAACAATTTTAGATAAAAGCTCTAATTAAAATTTATAAAAACTAAATATGGAGGTAGAAGCTAGAAAATTACATTGAACATTTGGTAACAGTTTAAAATTCAAAACTAAGCAAGCAGTTTCTAATTCATTATATTACTATCTTTTATTTTAATTATAAAAATGTTTTATTATCTTATTGCGACATCAAACAAAAAGGGGTAATTGGGACCTTCTGACTAAAATTTAACTAAAAAACACACAAATCTGCACAATAAAACAAAAAAGCCAAACTAATTGTAATAAACAATTTACTTTGTCGAAAGTTTTTTTAGGAAATCAAGAAAAATTCAGTTTTACTATTTGTTTTGTCGTAATGTTGAAAGGATTTTTTTAATTGTACAATTACACCAAAATTTATTATGTATGTATTATTAATTGGGTCCTCATCTATCATATTATTTTATTAAAACAGGAAGCAACTTTCTTCTTGTCATTATCAGTTGATTTAAAAATTTATACGAAACGCAACATTTGTAATGTATTATTTTCTTCATTTGTTTCATATGTATTTCTGACACATATAGCATAAATGATTTCTGTTTCTTCTGCATAAATAAAGTATGGTGTGGAACACTTTGACAGTTTTTAGAAGCGGTTAGTTTTTAATATGAAATATTAATATGAAAATTCATTTGTCGAATTTTTTACAAAGACAAAAGTCAAAGAGCCCTAGTTCGATTCTCGGCGAAGGTGTGACAAAAAATTCGACAAATGAATTTTTGTATTAATATTTCATATTAAAGTATTGTATATTTAACATAACGATTTAACAAGATTAATAAATTTGATATACGCAGTTTTTGATTTGTCCTTGTACGTCTCTTTTCTAATTAAACCCTGTAAATGTATGTTAGTCATTTCGAAATAATTTCCATTCGTATACGGCGCAAGTTCGCTAGATACCTATAAACACGTAAGGACTCATCCGTTTTTTATCTACATTCTTATTAATGATAATGTTACAGCTTTGCCTGATTTTATTTACATCGAAATACTGGTAAAAATAAATTGTGCTTTGTGTAAGGTAAACCTATTTCATTTTAGTTATTATACTACCGTTTGCTTGAATTATAATTTTACAAGGAAATTAGGGAAATGCATGATAATTGGGAAAAACTGACAAAAATTTATGCAAAGAACAAAGAAGAATGTCATATAGAACAAAAGAAAGTTGCAATTCTTAATATTTTTGATGGTTTATGCTTATCGTAAATTTTATTGCAATAATAAAAAAACTTATCGCTTCGGAAACCAACGAAATTTAAAACATTTATCCTTATTTCTTGTTTATTACAATTTCATTTTTGACATACCTACCTACTAAATAGATATGCCTTACTATAAACAAATTTTAATATTGAGAAAATAAAACACTTGGTATTTTTGTTTCACAATTTTAATTTAAAACAAATTACACGCACCTATGTATTAGGATTGTTAATTACGGTTGTATAATTAAAACACAATAACAATTTATAGCAACTTACGATTTCCTTCTTGAATATTTTTCAGGAAAAGTAATATGAACCAAGACTAACCCAAATATTGGAGGACCTGTTTGAAATCTGGATAATTTTGGATAGTCGCAATATGTAAAAGATAAGTACAATTTTTGGTTCCTTTATATCTATTTATATGTCTATATAGGCAGATGGTGAAATTATTTGGGCGGTCTGTACTTCATGAAGCATAAAACCATACCTTTTCGAACAGGAATTATTGAACAATTTTCACTTTCAGTGTCTATAAGTTTGTCTATTGTAATGGAAGTTTCCTAAAATTCATTTATCAAAAAAAACGTTATTTAAAATGACAACAACAATTTTAGTTTTCAAATTTTAACGATTAAAAGTTTATAAATACATATATTTAACAATTTTAGATAAACGCTTTCATAAAAATTAATAAAAACTAAGTAAGTTGGTAGAAAATAGAAAATTATAACGGACAGGCTTCAAATTTTTTTTATTACCTGATATTGTTGTGGAGTGCGTATAAATTAAGCTTGCAACTATATTATGTATTATT